CTCGTTCTACTAAGTGATATTTTTATCTGAACTTCAGATTCTTATAATTGGACTGCATTTAATTAGTTCTGCACTTTTTCAGGTGGTATTCAGTTTAAAAAATATGTTACTTAAAGTTAGTAGAGGATCTGATAGATGCCATGATCTTCAAAAATATACTATTAAATGTCTAAATGCAACTTTGGATTATTTTGAACCTCTCCTAACCTTATTTTGTCTCCAAACAAACCATTAATTCTGAGATGTGAAAGCAGAAACTTCTTTTCATGTAATGATTTATTAGGGTCCATATATACACTCAAGAAAGATTTCATTGTTTGATATTTCTAGGAGTGCTTTTATTGTCGTTCTACTATTTGAGTTTTTTTATCTTCATTTTTTTTTACTTTTTGGACTTTATTAATCACTTTGATGATGTGATTTTACAGAAGAGAAGCAAATCAAGTAAAGAATCGCATAAGAAAGCTAAGGTGAAGCCGATTTCTACCACTGGTACTAAAAGTCATGCCCGTGTTCGTGAAGAGATGGTATTTAATCTCATCTAGAGGGTTTTTTGAGTTATTGTATACCTTTTTCTTAATTAATATACTTTGATGAGTTATTTTTTTTGTTGTGTAGAAACAACGCTTAAACAAGAGCCCAACACGAACTCAGGTTTATTTAGAATGTCATCAACATGAAAATGAAGCAGAAATAACGGTATGTATGTGTTTATATATATATATATATATATATATATTCATGAACTTTTGGATTTACTTTTGAACACATCAATATGGTGTGAAGCCATCAGATTTGGCAAACCCCATCAATTGTTAGAGTGGTTTGCTACTTTTTTAAGGGTTTCTCAAGTTCTATTTTATAGATCTTTGAGTTAAAGTTATGTTTAGAATTACTTTATGTAGAATATTTCCCTCAAACAAAACAATGTCTAATATTAGGATTATCACAGGTGATACATGAGGACCAAGCTGGATCCAATTCAATTGAAATGTTATGTGTGTGTGTGTGTGTGTGTGTGTGTGTGTGTGTGTGTATTGTCCATATATTTTCAGGCCAAGTAAGTTATACTTTGATTCCTAATGCTTTACCCGGTATTCTTTGTAGAGTCAAATTAGGAATATCGCTGCTGAAATAGGTGATGAAGAAGTGAGCTTAGATGATGATTCCTTTTCCAAGATTCTAGGTAAAGATCAATATGGCCGTGTTCGTGGTTTAGGACTTGGTGTGAAGCCATCAGATTTTGCAATCTCCTCACGCCCACCATATTGCAATGGCTTGAACATGTCCTCAAGTGATGAAACAACGACTTTGTACTATATTCGTCAACTGAAAAAATCAATGCAAAGACTGGAAAAGCGTGTCAAAAAGCAAGGAATAAGTATCATAAAACTGAATAGGTCAATGCAAAGAATGAGGAAGCTTTTAAAAAGGAAAGGAACAAGTCTTTTGAAGTTGAAAAGGAAGCTAAAAGTCCGTTGTGGTTCAGATTTTGATACTTCTAGTTCAGATGGTTCAGAAAAATCAGATTCAGAAGAAGAGTTTGATATTCAGAATACTAATGAGGTACTCAGTGTATTTTTTTCATCTTATAATTTTGCCTACTTTGTAAAAATTGTTGCAATTAAATAATGTGATACTGTTTTATGCAGGGTGATGTTGCTACTTCAACCGCACATTAAGTGATGACATTTGAGATTCCTTAATCAAAAGTAACACAACTGGTATTGATTTGTTTCTTTTTACACTAATTGCAACCTGCTATAGAAACATTTTTAAAATTTTTCACATTTTCTCATGTGGTCTTTAATTATAAGTAGTATATCCGTTTTGATGTTGTTAAAGGGAATCGAGTATCTGTTCAAGAATTTTTAATGTGATAGTACAGATTTATACTGCACTCTCAGGAACCCTTCAATAATTAGAATATTACAATTGGGTAGTAGGGTACTGTATCATTCACCTTAAGTTTATACCCATACATTTTCATTGTGTGCGTGTGTGTTGTTACTACAAAACTGGACACTAGAATTTTCAAAAGAGAAACTTTCTTTGTTCTTCCAATCTTCCTTTTAACCTCAAATCTGTAAAATAGGAAGATATGTTTTTAGCTTTTTTATTCAAATGATCATTATAAGTTTTTAGTATGAATTTTTTTAAGTTCATTAGACAACATTGTCACACATTCCTTTTAAAATCATTGAGTGAAGAACTGAAAAGTATACAAGAAACTGAATGCATCTCATATTTATAAAAAAAAAAATGAAGGAAAGAATTGACCAATAAAACGAAGAACTTGAAAAGTATCCAACAAATGCATCTCAAAAACTGAATGCATCTTTTGTTTGGTTTTTGCAGGTTTTGCTTCAGTAAAAGATAGAGGGGCTTACTGTAATACTGAAGTTGGAGAGATTAAGGGTTGATTTGGATATATTGATGTAATACATTAGACATTAAGGGTTGATTTGGATATATTGATGTAATACAATGGATATGGATTATGGAGTTAAGACAATGAGGAACACTCTTGTTATTTTCAGTTTGTGGGCACTTTTGATATTTTGGTACAAGATTAATCAACTTATACACTCATTTGCAATAGTAATAGATTTATACCTCATACGAAGACAGATTTAAACCTCATACGAAGACAGATTTATTGCAAAAGAAGCAGGAGAAAAAAAAAGTAATGACCGGTGGTCTGGTAATAGATTTGGAGGCACTTGGAAAGCGTAGTTGGATCTCTTGCGGCGCTAAATATGTACCTTAGTAGGTTATTGAAAAGCACCTCATGTTTAGCGACGCTTTTAGAGTGTTATACCGATGCAAAAGATTAGCGTCGTGAGAAGGTCTAGCGACACAAGCAAAGCAAGCGCTTTCAAAAGCGCCGGTAAAAGTACTTCCGACGCTTTTTAGCGCCTCTACAAGTCAATATATAGCGTCTTAAAAGCTCCTTTTCCTACTAGTGGTAATTGCAATTATAATAATTATAATTATAATTGTAATCATAATTATAATCATAGAAACATTCAAATCAGATCAGATCAGAAAGATTCAGATCAGATCAGAAGGATTCAGATCAGATCAGAAACATTCAGATCATATCAGACCAGATCAGAAAGATTCAGATCAGATCAGAAAGATTCAGATCAGATCAGATCAGAAAGATTCAGATCAGATCAGATCAGAAAGATTCAGATCAGATCAGATCAGATCAGAAAAATTCAGATCAGATCAGATCAGAACTTAAAAAATTCAGATCAGAAACATTCAGATCAGGCGAAGAGAACAGTTTCTAATTCTCGAAGCCATTAGTGCTCACCAATATTACGAAATAGATTTGTTCTTTATTCTTTTATACTCCCTCCGTTTCTAAAAGAAAGTCACGGTTTGACTTCACGATTATTATGGAAATAAATTGACTTTACTGTAGAAAATACTGTTTAGACACTGTTTGACACTGTTTGGACACTGTTTGGCACTGTTTGGCACTGTTTGGATGTAGATTTCTTTGCCAAATAAGGAAATAAGGGAAGTGTGACTTTTATTTTGACACATCCAAAAAAGGAAAGTGTGAGGTTCTTTTAGAAACGGAGGGAGTATATAAGTTGTACTACGTAGTATTCTATTCCCAAATCCCAACACATTCCACTGGAGTGACTGGACATTTACTTTTTTGGACCGAAGATCTCTAATCATATTCACTCGGAATACTACTAGTAGTCTTTGCCAAGTTTTGCCAAAAAAAAGGTAAATTCTATTGTACCCATACCTTTGTCTACATGGATCAATGAGAATGTAACAGTTGAATTATTTAAATATAAATTAAAAATCATAAAGTGATGTGGTCTAATCAAATGAATGGTAAGTACGGTACTCCATTTTTTAGAAGGGTACCGGAGTTGTCACGAAAAAAAGGTTTAAGAGAATTTTTCGTCAAACTACGTACTATTGCATCAGATCCCATATTCGTCCCATCTTTTGTATATTACAGGTAAGAAATAAATAATTTTGAGAAGAACAATCTTTTCCTCGCCAAAAAAAGATGAAGAAATGATGTAAATAGAAGTAAAATATCATGATTTAGATGCAAAAATCTAAATATTATCATTTTTATCTTAAAAATATCACATATCCGATCCTAATAAAAAAAATACAAACTCTGTTCCTACAAGCACGCGACGTTTTATTTTAAAAGCAAATGAGCCATATTTTCATGGCAAAACAACGTATAAATGGTCTTTTTTGACTAAATGTGGAAAAGTCCATATATGAACAAATCCATTACGGAGTATTATAAAAAAAAATATTACTACAATAGAACTTATTGACAAAAATATGACTTGTTACTACAATGTAGTGCTATAGTAAATAAACTAATTACATAAATATGACCAAAATAAAGTATACTGAACAATACACTTTTCATGCGTAAAATTAACTTCACGCACGAAATTAAAAGTTACTCTCTTTCATAAGCAAAAACTTAAGTTACCTAATAGTTGTATCACTTGTATGGATGTTTTTACATGGGCTGTAATTTGCTGGTCTGGTCTGGTCTGGTCTGGTCTGGTTTGATCCGGTCTGGTATGAACTGGTCCGGTCTGGTAAACGTCTGGTCTCTGACTCTCTGAGTATTTTATAACTACGGAAGTCAAGTCTGGTCTGATCTGTTTAAGTCCGGTCTGGCTTGTTTAAGTCTGGTTTGGTCTGATCTGATCTGTTGAAGTCTGGTCTGATTTGGTCTGTAATTAAAAACACTGCAAGTAAAAACATCATATATATGCCCTATCCGCCATCATTTACGGGCACTGTGACCATAAAAATACGGGCAATATGACCAACTTGACTTTGAAACAAGTTATTAGTCAATTTAATTATTTCCCACGATATAAAGGGGGCCTCCGGCCACGCAAAATGATTCATTTTTATCTCAAAGCATATACTATATGAATGGTGATGGGTCTTTCCAAATGATGCAACTCGTAACCTAAGCTATAAAATGCTCATCTATTTCAAGGGATTAAGCACCACCATTTTGGCTATTAGATCTCCAACATTTGTTTCCTTTATTTTCCTTTAGGATAACGTACATTTTTATAGTAATGGAGCGTGCCAGATATGTTGTCCCAGGCCACCTCCTAAAACAGGCGATCCCGGTTCAAGTCCCGAACCAAGATCGCCCCCACCCCGCTAAACCACTATCTTCAACTCACCATAAAGGGAGTGGTGTTGCAAAGACTACTGAGCCTTTGCCGCGTTCTTCAAATGTGAAAAAAGTACCCTCTTCCGAGTCAACGGATGGACATTGCGGCTACGGTGGCAATGTTCGTGGGTCTGGTAAGGACGTTGGCGATGATGACGTTGATAAGAAAGCTACAAGCTATATTTTGAAGGTTAAAGAGCGAATCAGGTTGGAAGAACTGAAAATTTTGAATGAAAAGAAGTGAAATTTGGTGTGTAAGCTACAATAAGGACTCAATAAGTATATTTATAGACTATATAACGGGTCTCGTCCCTATTTCGCAAGGGGATGATTTTCTTCCAATTTCGATCAATGGTTGCATCACTAATGAATTGTGTATAAAAGTGATGATCCATTTCCTCTTTGTATTGTATTTCACGTTTCAAGTCTTCGGATATGCTACTCTCATTAACCTATCGGGATTGTCATTATCCTATTATAATCCACCACCATCTACATCCCTATGGCTATACTCCGTATATAATACTACATACTAAGTATATTATATTATGTCCAATCTATGTCCTTCATTTTTACATTTAAATGTTTTTAATTGAATTGAAATTATGGACTTATCCGATTTGTTCTAATAGACGTTTGGTCTATGTCGAAGTCCGACTGCTTTGATCTATTTAAGTTTGGTCTGATTTATCTAAGTGTGGAGTGTTATTGAAATAAGTTCAAATAAATACATTCTTTCTCCGTCACAAATTGATTCGCAATTTGCAATTTTGAAGGTTAACTGATAAAATCAAATTTTCTCTGTTGATAATTAAGTCAACTTTGCTAATTATAATTCACACATTCAAAGTTACTCTTCAAAGTTATTGCAAAGTCCAAACTAAAATATAATAAAAAATCGATATCTTAAATAATTAAGCAAATGAAATCAAAATGTGTTGATCAAGAAAATAGACTTTACAAATCATTTTAGGACCAATTTAGTATATATTTTTATTTCTAAGTAACATATGAGACATATGATATCAATATAGCATTATAGATTATGTTATTTTTCCAAATTCAAGATGCTCATATTTGATAGGTACTTTAATTGTATCGACACCAATGGTGACCTTTTTGCTATTTTGTTGTTCTGTTGCAAGATTTATGTTGGCTACATTGGATACCAATTATTTCATTTGAGATACACGATTTGATTTGCAATTCATGCTACCCAAATTGTGATTAAGAGCATCGTTTTATACCGAGTTCTTTTGGATAGTGCCGCATCCTCGTTATTAAAAATTAAAATGTGCTCAGAACAAAATAATGCACAACTAACCTTCAAGTCATTTCTATCTTTTGCATTTTTCATAAGAATGATTCGTTTATGCGCGTATGTATACATAAGTGAAGTATACTCGTAATGGTCAGAACTAAACACGTTATATTCCACTACGTCCCGCTAATCTATCTGGCAAGAAATAGTCCGGCGAGATTGACACTAATACCTTGAAATCTAAGAATATCATTCAATTTCCAACTTTAAAACAAGGTAATTCTCAATCATTATCTCTTATGCGATGACTATAACATGAGTCAACGTCAATCTTTATCGCATATCGAACTATCAATAAAAACAGTCTTCATTTATGGTTAGTTTTACGTTGCAGTGTCAAGAGTTATCAATTGTAAATATTTGCAAATATTGATATGTGATGAGGATGATCAACAAATCGATCATACTACAAATTTAATGTTGTTTACGTAGAAGTCTTACTAATTTGTAATTTCACTATGAGCACTTATTATACTACTTACTACTTTGCTTGTAGTTTCGAATGTTATGTCTCTTTTATAATATTTACATTTTCATTTTTCGACGATCACTACCAAAAAAACTCGTTATAGATACGGATTTTGGCTCGGAAAATAACCCAGACAAATTTGGCGCGGAAATAGGGACGGAAAGCAGAAAAAGTCGATTTGTTACTACAATGGCACGGCATTATCCGTGCCAACACGTTTGGCTCGGACATTTCGACCCTACATCCGTGCCAAGACCGAAAACCTGTGACGTAGTTGGCTTGTGTTGATATCCGTGCCAACCGCCGCGACAATATGGCAGGGAAACCGATCCGTCCCAACGATTTTTTTTTATTTTTAGAATTTGGCCCGGTATATATCCGTGCCTAATTTTTCCGTGCCAAACTCCGAGACAACCCCGTATCTTATTTGACTGTTCCACTGTCCGTCCCTATTTCCGTGCCTAATTCTAGCCGTTACGTTGGGTGGCAAATATCTGACCCAAATGTAGTGCCAAAATGTAACCGTTAGTTTGACTGGGATCTGGCCGTCCCAAAACCGTCGCAAAGACCGGATTTCAAATAAAGTTTATTTCGTGCCAAAATCCGAGACAATGAGGACCGTTGAACACATTTTGGTAGGGGCATTTCCGTCCCAATTTCTGTGCCTACTAAATCTACAAATATACCAAGTTGGGATGTGAAGCAAACTACATCTCAGAAAATGATGTTTTCGATCTTTGTGTATGATGAATTCTGGATAGAAGTTGGAAGTTATATTACTTGATATCTGGAGGTTTTCTATATGGATTTCTTACTTTATATTACTTGGTATCATCGTTGTACTTAAGGTATGTAAATTACGACCATTGTGCTTTTAAATTAATTTGATCATATCCATATTATGAGTTGTTATCAGTATTATTTAATTTGTCTTAATTATTTTGATTGAATTCAAGTGTTAGCTTTAAAACGTGAGACATTGTCTTATCAATTTAATAAATTAATTTCGTTAAGATATACTGTCAAAAAAAGTTAATTAAGATATTTTTTAATATTCAGGCACAATGTATAGACAATCTAGAAGTTGGATGTATGACCGCTACAAGGAAAATGGTAGAGGATTGAAAAAAGTGTTTGAAAATGGAGTTAACGAATTTATTAGATTCGCACAAGAGCAAACACGCTATGCTGATGGAAGTAAAATAAGATGTCCTTGTACAGAGTGTAAAAATAACAAATTTGTTGAAGGTGATGAGGTTTGTTGGCATTTATATACGCATGGTTTTGTTGAAAACTATTACAACTGGACTGCTCAAGGAGAACCAATTGAGGCAGAGCTCTTGCCGCAAAACGTAGGAACATCGAGGTATGTTCCCGATGAGATGGCTAATTGGGGAAATTATGAAGAAATGGTATGGGAGCAAAAGATGCTTTATGATTTGGCTGGTCCTTCTACGTTTCCAAATATCCACACGGATAGTAATTTCAACGCACACAATAATATGAATGAAGGACCAAGCTCATCATATTATGATGTGGATGACTTAGGCACTAGATTTCAAGAAGTGCTCAAAAGTGCGGACCAACCTTTATATTCTGACTGTTATGATCATTCACAATTATCAGCAGTTTCTGAATTTCTTAACATAAAGTCAGAATATAACCTCTCTGAAAGCTGCATGTCCAAAATATTAAACTCAGTTGGTAGTATGTTACCCCGTGATCATTGTCTTCCCGATAGTTACTACAACATGAAAAAGTTTGTTTCTGAGTTAGGTCTCCCTATGATCAAAATCCACGCATGCCCTGGAGGATGTATGTTATTTTGGAAGAATGACGAAACACTTATGCGGTGTAAGTTTTGTAATGCGGATAGGTACAAGCCCATATCAGGTATGACTCGAAAAGCCCGAAAAAGATCTGCAGCATCGAAGTTGATATATCTTCCTTTAGCACCACGTTTGCAAAGATTATATGCCTCAAGCGCTACCGCGAAACACATGACGTGGCATGTAGAGCATGACACTGAGGAAGGGTTAATGTGTCATCCATCAGATTCCGCGGCGTGGAAGCATTTTGACCGGTGTTATCCTCAATTTGCTTTTGAACCACGCAACGTCAGACTTGGGTTATGTTCTGATGGTTTTGCTCCTTACGGTCAATTTGGAGGGCAGTTCTCATGTTGGCCAATCATCATTACACCATATAACTTCCCCCCGGATATGTGTATGAAAAATCATTTTATGTTTTTATCATTAATGTGTCCTGGTCCTGGTAATCCAAAAAAAAGAATTGATGTGTATTTGCAGCCATTGATCGAAGAGCTGAAACAATTGTGGGAAGTTGGTGTTCCTACATATGATGTTTCGAGGGATCAAATATTTAATATGAAAGCTGCGATTATGTGGACCATTAGTGATTTTCCAGCATACGGCATGCTATCTGGATGGAGTACTGCTGGCCTTATGGGCTGTCCTGTTTGTATGGAAAAATCAAATGCATTTTGGCTAAAGAATAGCCGCAAAGCATCCTACTTTGATTGTCACAGGAAATTTCTCCCTCCTAATCATCCGTATCGAAAGGATAAGAAGTCATTCATCAAGGGTCGCAATGAACGTGATCCTCCGCCTCCGAGGTTAACAGGATATCAGATTTATGATCGTGTTCGAAACATCCCTTCTGCCATAGACGAGCCTCTTCAGTATCCAGATGGATATCGCCAAGATCATAAGTGGACAAAGAAAAGCATTTTCTGGGATTTACCATATTGGAAGGATCTTTTGATTAGACATAATTTGGATGTAATGCATATTGAAAAAAATGTTTTTGATAACATTTTTAACACGGTTATGAACTTCAAGGGAAAGACGAAGGATGGGCTTTCATCAAGGAAAGATGTAGCTTTGTTTTGTGATAGACCTGAAATTGCTATGGGCCCTGACTATGTTGGTCCAATGAAGAAAGCAGTTTATCAGCTGACGGACGAGCAGAAGAAATGCATATTAGAGTGGCTCATCCAACTACGATTCCCTGATGGATACACTTCTAACTTTTATAGATGTGTTGACTTAGAGAATTTGGCGATGAAGATTATGAAGAGTCATGATGCTCATGTGATGATGCAGCGCCTCCTTCCAATTGCATTGAAAGAAAATCTTCCGGATTATGTGTGGGCATGTATTTGTGATGTTTCTCAATTATTTCAGTTACTATGCTCACCTGTGCTAGACATACAGGCAATTCAGGATCTTCACCGTAATGTTCCCACTATATTGTGTAATTTGGAAAAGATTTTTCCTCCATCCTTTTTCGATGGAATGGAGCATTTACTTGTCCATCTTCCATTTGAAGCAATGACTGCAGGGCCGGCTTGGTATAGGTGGATGTACGGCTTTGAGAGGTAAATACTTTTACATTTTAGTTATGAATATAGGTAGTTATGAATATAAAATAATATATTAATATTATAGTAAATATTTATAGATTTTTGCGAGAGCTGAAAAAGAAGGTGACAAATAAAGCACACGTTGGAGCATCCATATGCCAAGCATACCTCACAGAAGAAGTTTCCACATTCTCTTCCTTCTATTTTGAAAGAGATATCATGACTAAGCGAAAAAGGCCTGTCAGAAATGATAATGTTGATCCAGCATTGTATGAGCAAATGGTTTCTATCTTCAACTATCCGGGCAAAGGATATGGTAGAAGGAGACACCGTCGGGTTGTTGGAGACGAGTTTCGAATAGCACAAACTTACATTCTGATGAACTGCCCGGAAGTCATTCCGTATTACAAGTAAGTCAATATTAACGCACATCGTAATAAATTATTTTCCACACTAACAAACACTCTAACCATTTCATTTTCTTATAAAAATGTAGTGATTACAGAGAAATGCTTTCTCTAGCTGGTTATTCCAATGAGGTCATTGATGCGACGATCGACACTGATTT